ATCGAACCTCAACCCCCAAAAGAGGACTCCCATATCGAACCTCCTGCTCCTGGTTCCCCTGTGTAGAGTTGGTCAGTGTGATGGTTACTAACTTAAAAATCTAATTAGTTTCCATCAAAACAAACCAAACATCCACAAAACAACGGCACATTACTGTGACCTCACAGCAAGGAGATTAAAATAACATCGCGGTTTACTCCAGGTGCTCTGGTTTCTCCGTTACCAAAAAAATATATAAAAGCCTCCCAAATCGTACCTCCTGCTCATTAGGTTCCCCTGTTTAGAGTTGGTCAGTGTGATGGTTACTAACTTAAAAATCTAATTAGTTTCCATCAAAACACACCAAACATCCACAAAACGACGGCACATTACTGTGACCTCACAGCAAGGAGATTAAAATAACATTGCGGTTTACTCCAGGTGCTCTGGTTTCTCCGTTACCAAAAAAATATATAAAAGCCTCCCAAATCGTACCTCCTGCTCCTGGTTCCCCTGTGTAGAGTTGGTCAGTGTGATGGTTACTAACTTAAAAATCTAATTAGTTTCCATCAAAACACACCAAACATCCACAAAACAACGGCACATTACTGTGACCTCACAGCAAGGAGATTAAAATAACATCACGGTTTACTCCAGGTGCTCTGGTTTCTCCGTTACCAAAAAAATATATAAAAGCCTCCCAAATCGTACCTCCTGCTCATTAGGTTCCCCTGTGTAGAGTTGGTCAGTGTGATGGTTACTAACTTGAAAATCTAATTAGTTTCCATCAAAACACACCAAACATCCACAAAACAACGGCACATTACTGTGACCTCACAGCAAGGAGATTAAAATAACATCGCGGTTTACTCCAGGTGCTCTGGTTTCTCCGTTACCAAAAAAATATATAAAAGCCTCCCAAATCGTACCTCCTGCTCATTAAGTTCCCCTATGCATACAATTGGTCAGTGGAATGGTTGAAAAGTCTAATTAGTTTCCATCAAAACACACCAAACATCCACAAAACAACGGCACATTACAGTGACCTCACAGCAAGGAGATTAAAATAACATCACGGTTTACTCCAGGTGCTCTGGTTTCTCCGTTACCAAAAAAAATATATAAAGGACTCCCAAATCCGACCTCCCGTTCATTAAGTTCCCCTATGCATACAATTGGTCAGTGGAATGGTTGAAAAGTCTAATTAGCTTCCATCAAAACACACAAAACACCAACAACATGACAGCACATTACTTAGTATCACCTCACAGCAAGAAGCTTACAATAACATCACGGTTTACTCCAGGTGCTCTGGTTTCCCCGTTACAAAAAAAATATATAAAATTTAAAAAGTCATATTAAATGTGTTAGTTATGTGTGTCCCCTCCCTGAGCTGCCACCTTACCGTGGTGGAGGGGTTTGAGTGTCCCAATGATCCTAGGAGCTCTGCTAGGCTTCATGACCCTAGTAGGGTCACCCAAGGCAGACAGATCCTAGGTGAGGGACCAGACAAAGTGCAGCCCAAAGACCCGTTATAATGAGTACAATCAATGGAAACAATGTTCCCTCGCCCAGACGCAGGTCACCGGGGCCCCACTCTGGAGCCACGCCTGGAGGTAGAGCACGCTGGCGAGCACCTGCTGGCCGCCCTGGTGAAAAAAATTATACTTAGCATACTGAAATTAAATATATTAAATGTATTTTAGAAATTATGGAAAAATACATTCTAAGTGTGCTATTTTGAAACAACTTACTTTATATTTAGTATACAGTATGACTAGCATAGAAGTCCAACAACAGAACACTGCTCGGGTTCAGATCAGAGAGGCCATTCCTCCCAATCACGCCCCTCCAGGTCACACTGTCATTACCCACATGGGTATTGAATTTCTCCAGCAGAATAAAGGAGTCTCCAGCTGGCGCACCTTCCAGCACCCCTGCCAAGAACTCCAAGAAGGCCGGATACTCTAAACTGTCGTTCGGTGCACAGGCACAGACAACAATCAGAGCATGTCCCCCCACTTGGAGGCTATGGGAAATCACCTCTCATCTACCGGGGAAAACAACACACAGGCACCAAGTCAGGGGGCTACAAGTAGACCGACACACGCTCAACGCCTCTCACCATGGGCAACTCCAGAGTGGAATAACGTACAGCCCCTCTCAAGGAGATAGGTGCCAGAGCCCATGCTGTGCGTTGAGCCCAATTATATCTAGTCGGTACCTCTCAATCTCATGCATAAGCTCAGGCTCCTTCCCTGCCAGAGAGGTCACGTTCTATGTCCCAAGAGCCAGTTTTGGTAAGCCAGGGTCAGAGTGTCAACGTCCCCGCCTTCGGCCACTGCCCATGGCATCACGCACCGGACTTTTATGACCCTTCCTGCAGGTGGTGGGCCACAGGAAGTCAAAACCATGCGGCTCTTTCGGGCTGAGCCCAACCAGGCCCCATGGGTAGAGACCCGGTCAACAGGCGCTTGCCGAAGAGCCCCTCCCCCAGGCCTGGCTCCAGGGTGGGGCCCCGGTAACCCACGTCCGGGCAAGGGACACTGAGTTCCTTGCTGTGACATGTCCATAAAAATCTTCTTTTCATCCATGAATATGAAATAAATTTTCTTGTTTATTCTGTGGAATGATCGTTTCTGTTGTTGAACGGGAAAAACTCCAACACACAGGCACCAAGTCGGTGGGCTATGACAGTTCAGAGTATCCGGCCTTCTTGGAGTTTTAAGTGATCGGGGGTCTGAAAGAAGGGGAGAGTGGGTGTTTTTCAGTGTGCAGCGCCGCTGAGGAGGGACAATAGTTATGTTTACATGCGCAAAATCCTTTGACCGGATTGAAATGTTTTCTGATTAAATAAATCGTTGGTTACGTACCCCAGATTCTATGAATATAGGCGTAGCCCTTTAAGGCTGTCGCTTAATGGGTTTATCCCGTCATGCGGAGCATTACACTGAAAAATTTAGT